TGGAAATAGCGATGACAATGGTGGCTAGTTTTTTTTGAGAAATGAAGAAGTGTATCAGGACTGGATCAAACGCTTTGATGAGCCTGTTGGTTATCTAGGAGAGAAAGATTTGACCAGTGCTGCATCCTTACAAAGTACAGGTGCAGTCAGTGTGGGGTAGGTCTGTGCGCTGTGCCATGCAATGAGAGGTACCATACTCTCAAGAACTATAAACTGTGTCACCTAGATATCTGATTGGGCAGATAGCTGGTCAACTGATCATCAAATAGGCACATGCATTTTACTATGGCACAGTAATATAGTAATAATTTACTACTTTCTCCTGTTTTACTGTTGATTTCCTCTTTTCTGATCATTTGGAATGAGGATAAAAAGCCCAAAAAAAAAAAACATGCAAATAAGTTCAAACATACATTCAGTGTCTATTATTTCCTGAATATTACTGATGAACTGATCAAAAAGTAGGCTACTGTTCACATGCATTTTACTATGGCACAGTAATATAGTAATAATTTACTACTTTCTCCTGTTTTATTGTTGGTTTCCTCTTTTCTGATCATTTGGAATGAGGGTAAAAAGACAAAAAAAAACGAACATGCAAATAAGTTCAAACATCAATGCCCAACATTTTTCTAATTTACAGTAGATCTCTATCTTTAAGCCCTTTCAAGCCACAAGCTTTTGAAATCTTGATGTCAAAATCCAGCATGTTTCCAAAAATCCCTGGCTCCTAAAGGGTTAACTTATTTTATGTATTTGTTTGTCATTCTAACTAATTGAACTGAGCAGTAAAGGATCAGGTTTAAAGGATTCCTTATCCCATGAGTGAGAGAGGGTAGGATATTTAAAACTTTTAATGATCTACAATATATGTTTTAATGATTTTAATGCTCTATAAGCATTTCAAAAATAATTATGTAAAAGTATACTGACAGTCCAGTACATATCAATTTAAGATAAACTGAGTAGAGAAGGAATTAGGATTAGATAAAGACTAATTATACTATAATATTGTTGATAAATAATTATTTTCTAATAATATTGAACAATATTAGGCTTAAAAGATTTCTTATCCTATGATGCCATCTTGTGGACAAACCTTTGTATTACAGCCTGAAATGTCAGCTGAAAAGTCTAATAGATTTGAATTTTTGTTTAGCCATAGATCATTGTAA